CGAGGGGGCGCGAGGCTACCTTATCCGCGCGGGGGCGTCACCGGCGAGGGAGTCCGGTGGCAACCGTGCCTGTAGCGGTGCGCAACCGAGGAACAGGGAGGCGGGGGTGTCCGGTGCGGGGGGCTGGGGCGGCTGGTGGATGTGGGCCGAGGCCCAAAGGGGACGGGGGGGGGCTTTCTCTCTCTCTCTCTCTCTCTCTCTGACCTCTGACTTTTCCCTTTTCTTTTTTTCTTTTATTTGCTCTATTTTGCATTTTTCTTTTAGTACCAAAAGAGTTTTGTTTTGAACAAAACTTGGCACATAAAACTAACACAATACCTTGAGATGGAACAAAAAGTTTGGGGTCAAAGGAGTTGCCTAATCAATTTTAGAAATTGAAAAATCCAATTTCAATGTTGCTGGAGCACTGAATTAATTCCCATGGGCATTTTGGGAATCCAGAAGAGGTTGGTTTCAACATGAGAGTGATCAGGAAAATTTATAGGATAAGGTGAACATTTTATTCCTATTGCTCAAAGAAAATAATTTATTCGACTTTTTTTAAAATTGAAAAAGGCTTTGATTTTTGGACAAGTGGCAAGCTGCATAGTAATCATGATGACATGGCCACCATTAGGGGGGAGATTACTGTAGCATGATTCTCGGGGTGTTACAGCTTGGTACTTCGCCTCTGCCTCCTCTTCCTTCGGCTTTACCCGTAGGGGCGGCGGTGGAAGGTCGTGGTTGATGTGGACGCCAAGGCGGCGCTCCTCCTCGTGCTCTAGCGCAAACCAGCGCTCCCGATTGGGGGAGTCTAGCGCGTAGTTCTGCTCATATCACATCTCCCACTCGTCGTCGGCCCCCTCCTCGGCGAGCCAATGCGCCTTCCAGCGCTCAAGGTGGGCCGCCTCTTCTTCCGGCATAGTGGCAGGGAGGTGCGCTCACCCACTCGCGAAGCTGGCCGGTCCACGAATAGGACTCCTCCGGCCAAGTGGGGGCGGCGGTGACCGCTTGCGCGTGGGAGTTGGTTCGCGCTCCGGCTCGGCCTTAGGCTCGACGAGGGGCAGCGTCGGCAGCGGTGGCGGCACGAACAGGGCGCCTGGACGGAGTCCCCCTCGCGGATAAAGCTAGGGTTTGCTCCAGCCCATCCCAATGGGCGTCCTCCTTGAGCCGGCTCGCCTCCAACGCGTGATGCAGGGCCTCCTCGAGGGCGGCTTGGTACTTCGCCTCTGCCTCCTCTTCCTCCGGCTTTACCCGTAGGGGCGGTGGTGGAAGGTCGTGGTTGATGTGGACGCCGAGGCGGCGCTCCTCCTCGTGCTCTAGCTCAAACCAGCGCTCCCGGTTGGGGGAGTCTGGCGCATAGTCATGCATGGCGCGCTGCTCCGGCGTGAGGAGCTCGCGCCGCCGGCGAACCTCCTCAGCGTGTGCCCGCGCGGACCTCGACGCCGCCAGGATGGGGATGCGATGCGGGTCCAGATGCCAGCCGTGTGGCAAGTTCACATCTGGATACGGCAAGGGCTGGCGGTACTGCCAGTGCCACCGCGCCTGGTGGACTGGGATGTCCAGCCGCTCCCGCAGTGGCGTGCCGCACCTAGCCGGCGGTAATGTAGCAGGATGCTCGCGGGAAGAGCTCGCCCCGGCGCTGAACCTCCCCTTCTTCCCTCCCTTCC